TCACGTAGATGACAACCAGGAGAAGGCCTCTTGTGCCTTGGGCTGCTTCTGAGTGGAAAAATTACTTTCACCCAAAGGAATTACCAGGCTCTAAGTTGTCCAACGGTGTTATAAAACTCTGAATTGTCCAAAGGAGTTATTTGACACTGAGTTGGCCCATTTAGTCAACTGGCTCTAAGTTGCCCAAAGGAGTTATCAGGCTCTAAGTTGCCCAAAGAAGTTATCAGGCTCTGAGTTGCCAAAAGGAGTTATCAGGCTCTAAGTTGCCCAAAGGAGTTATCAGGCTCTGAGTTGTCCAAAGGGGTTATCAGGCTCTGAGTTGCCAAAAGGAGTTATCAGGCTCTGAGTTGTCCAAAGGATTTATCAGGCTCTGAGTTGTCCAAAGGATTTATCAGGCTCTGAGTTGTCCAAAGGATTTATCAGGCTCTAAGTTGGCCAAAGGAGTTATTAGGTTGTGCCAAAAGGAGTTATCAGGCTCTGAGTTTCCAAAGGATTTATCAGGCTCTGAGTTTTCCAAAATTTATCAGGCTCTAAGTTGCCCAAAAAAGTTATCAGGCTCTGAGTTGCCAAAAGGATTATCAGGCTCTGAGTTATCAGGCTCTGAGTTGTCCAAAGGAGTTATCAGGCTCTGAGTTGTCAAAAGGATTTATCAGGCTCTAAGTTGCCCAAAGAAGTTATCAGGCTCTGAGTTGTCCAAAGGATTTATCAGGCTCTGAGTTGCCAAAAGGAGTTATCAGGCTCTGAGTTGTCCAAAGGAGTTATCAGGCTCTGAGTTGTCCAAAGGATTTATCAGGCTCTAAGTTGCCCAAAGAAGTTATCAGGCTCTGAGTTGTCCAAAGGATTTATCAGGCTCTGAGTTGCCAAAAGGAGTTATCAGGCTCTGAGTTGTTCAAAGGATTTATCAGGCTCTGAGTTGCCAAAAGGAGTTATCAGGCTCTAAGTTGCCCAAAAGAAGTTATCAGGCTCTGAGTTGTCCAAAGGAATCAGGCTCTGAGTTTTATCAGGCTCTGAGTTGTTCAAAGGATTTATCAGGCTCTGAGTTGCCAAAAGGAGTTATCAGGCTCTGAGTTGCCAAAAGGAGTTATCAGGCTCTGAGTTGTCCAAAGGATTTATCAGGCTCTGAGTTGTCCAAAGGATTTATCAGGCTCTAACTTGCCAAAAGGAGTTATCAGGCTCTAAGTTGCCCAAAGGAGTTATCAGGCTCTGAGTTGCCCAAAGGAGTTATCAGGCTCTGAGTTGTCCAAAGGGGTTATCAGGCTCTGAGTTGCCCAAAGGAGTTATCAGGCTCTGAGTTGTCCAAAGGGGTTATCAGGCTCTGAGTTGTCCAAAGGGGTTATCAGGCTCTGAGTTGTCCAAAGGATTTATCAGGCTCTAAGTTGCCCAAAAAGGATTTATCAGGCTCTGAGTTGTCCAAAGGGGTTAAGGCTCTGAGTTGCCAAAAGGAGTTATCAGGAGTTGTTCCAAAGGATTTATCAGGGCTCTAAGTTGCAAAAAAAGGAGTTATCAGGCTCTGAGTTGTCCAAAGGATTTATCAGGCTCTGAGTTGTCCAAAGGATTTATCAGGCTCTGAGTTGCCAAAAGGAGTTATCAGGCTCTGAGTTGTCCAAAGGATTTATCAGGCTCTGAGTTGTCCAAAGGATTTATCAGGCTCTAAGTTGCCCAAAGAAGTTATCAGGCTCTGAGTTGTCCAAAGGATTTATCAGGCTCTGAGTTGCCAAAAGGAGTTATCAGGCTCTAAGTTGCCCAAAGGAGTTATCAGGCTCTGAGTTGCCCAAAGGAGTTATTAGGCTCTAAGTTGCCCAAAGGAGTTATCAGGCTCTGAGTTGTCCAAAGGAGTTATTAGGCTCTGAGTTGTCCAAATCAGTTATTAGAATCTGAGTTGTCCAAAGACGTTATCAGGCTCTGAGTTAGCAGGCTCTTCCATTTGCTGACAACCATGCATTCTGATTTCAGTTTATATTTAGCCCTTTCTTCACGTTTTCTTTCATTACCTTCTGTAGGAGTTATTGTACACTTTCTTCTCTGTGTTGGCCATCAACACGGCATCATCTGCATATATTATGTTGCTAAGATTGTGGCTGCCATTAAGTAATTTTGTCAGAAATTCTCATTCCCTTGGAATCGCTTCATTGAATAGGATGAATTAGTCCGGTGAGAACACACATCCTTGTCTCTCACCTTTTTTGTATATTTTGTTTATATATATATATATATATATATATATATATATATATATATATATATATATATATATAATAGATAGAATGTATATTCAATATAATAATACATAGAATGTATATTCAAAATTTTGAATAACTATTTCAATCAACAAGATTTTACTTGCAGGTCTTGTCACCTCGCGGTGTGAGGAAACGAAATAGGAGCTTACAATTTAAACGCCAAAGGATAAAAGTTCAAGTCTCGACCGGCTGATTGGTTGACCTCTCTGCCTTCGGGCAGGGAGGAACCCGAACGAGGCTACGCCGAAGGGCGGTTTCTCTTTCGGGGAGGTAAACCGACCCTGAACCCGTTTATACGGGTTCAATGGGCATATTTTTGGCCGAGACCACGGGCTCGGAGATCCCACCTTAAACCGGCCTTGTGCCACATGATGCCCTCGTGGGGGGAGTGACTGAATATCGTCAAAGGATAAAAGAATAGGGAGAAAAGGAAACAGAAAAAGAAAAAAAGAAAGAGAGAAGAATAAAGAGGGAGCAGTAGATATAGATATGTTATAAATTTGAATAAATATTATATATATATATATATATATATATATATAATATTTATTCAATTTATAATTTTGAATAAATATTATATATATATATATATATATATATATATAATATTTATTCAGTTTATAACATATGCATGTTATAAGATCACTACAAAAATGCAATTTTGTTTCGACACTTCCGATGTCTTATGTGTTTTTCTTCCATTCAACATCATCACTTTGAGCAGAAAACAGAAGTATCGAAACAAAATTGCAACTTTTGTAGTGATCTTATATCATGCATATGTTGTAAATTTGAAAAAAAATATTATTAGCTCTACTCGGTATTGAGCACTCTTTTAAGAATAGTATTTTTGGTTATTGTAAATTTTATTCCGTTTGTGCCAACCTGTATATATATATATATATATATATATATATATATATATATATAAATATAAAAGTGAACATAGAAGTCAACACTTAGAGGCGACAGTCTGTTTCATGCTATATGCAATCGTCAGGCCACATATGCTGTTATTTTTCTCGGCTATTTATATATATACGGGTTAGTGGTGCATTGTGGGTATTCTATTATGGCGGTTATTTTTAAATAGCCGAGAAAAATAACAACATATGTGGCCTGACGATTGCATATAGCATGAAACAGACTGTAGCCTCTAAGTGTTGACTTCTATGTTCACTTTTATATTTACACACGCTCTATCTCTGATATTGAGCACTTTATCCCATAAATATAGCACACCTTAAGACTATATTTCTTTATATATATATATATATATATATATATATGTGTGTGTGTGTGTGTGTGTGTGTGTGTGTGTGTGAACATTGAAGTCAAACCCCAGAGGCGACAGTCTGTCGATTACGTTTAGCATGAGACAGATTGACGCCTTTTAAATGTACACTTTTATATTTGCATAAGCTCTATCCCTGATATTGAGCACTTTAACCCATAAATATAGCATAGAAAGATTTTGATTTGAATGTCATATGTAAGCAAGTATTTCGGTGGGAAAACGTTTCTCTGAAATTATTCTTAATTACTGGAGAGTTCCTGTTACCTTTAAACTATTTCACCTTCCAGAATATTCGTTAAGGATTTCACTTCTATAATAGATTATCATATTATAAACCATGGATGGTTGTGAATGCTAAAGTATCATAATAAATAATGACAATAAGAAATATGAAATAGATTGAAAAAAGTGGATTTAAAAACTTTAATCCCCAAATCGAAATTAGCACATTGAAATTGAAAAAATTGAATCGAAAAATTGAATATTTGAATTTGAAAAATAGAATTGAGAGTTTAAAATTGGAAAATTTGAAAGTGGAAAATTACATTGAGAAGTTGAATTAAAAAATTGAAATTCAAAATTGGAAATGAAAAACTGAATTAAAAAACTGAACAGAAACAATGTAACTGAAAAATGTGAATTAAAAAACTGAAGGCGAAAAATAAGGCTGAGAAGTTTAAAAAATGACACTAATAAATTGAATTGTAAAAACATAATTGAAAAATTGAAAATGAAAAAATGAATTAAAAAAACAACTGTAAAATTTGAATAAAAAAATCTAAATTTAAAAACTGAATCGAATTATTGAAATTGAAAAATTAAATTTTAAAAAGATTTATAAACAAAACGAAATTAAAAAATAAAATAGAAAAATTTATATTAAATATTGACAGAAAAAATGAACTGAAAATATTTTTTACAATAATAATTATAATAATTAGTATGTATAACAATTATTACATATAATAAGACGTAAGAATTATTTAAAATGATTAATATATACAAAGTTGTGCTTTGGACTGAGCAAAAAGCCCTTCCTAAAACTGTATCCGATTTTTGGTCAATTGATCACATTTTGGAAACTGGGTCAGCATCTTCTTATAGATTAGATACACCCCTACACATTCACACGCGTAATAAGTCCATATAACATTTCATTGGTTGTAATATATTTATTAATATTAATATAATTATTATTAATATATTTAATATCTGTATAATATATAAGAATTTTTATATCTATAATTAAATATCATTAATTTTTTAAATGATCAGTTATTGATTTTACCATTGTCGCTAGCAATTCGATCTTTAATTAAAAGAAATTAATAATAAATATATCGATATTAATAAATGAATTATGAAAAAGTGAATAGTAAAGGCATAAATAAAACCAATAATGTTGATATATAATGAAAATTTATCGAATAAATAATGATAAATATTTTCAATAATAACAGTAGAACGGTTCAAATTTGTCGATAATGTTGATAAAATGAAAGAGAGTCGATGGATTTTTCTACTTCAGATTGATTCTGTACAAATACTTGTAAAATAAATTTTACAGTTTTTGTCGATATTACGTCAAAAATTCTCTAAGAAGAATCTCCTTAAATCAATCTGAGGGCTAATATTATTAACATTATTATTAACAACACCTAGAGAAAAGCACGATACAAGGAAAGAAAAAGAAAAGACAATGTCTGTCTTTTCTTTCTCTTTTCTTTTCTTAAATCACGCTCTGCTATCATTGTTGAAAAATATTGGAAGAGTTACGTCAATCACTTTGATTATTATTATTATTATTATTATTATTATTATTATTATTATTATTATTTCCTTTGGGTGTGTGTTGTATACACATTTCCTTCCGGGTCCCAACCAGAGACCTAAGATCAGAAATGGCTTCATTTATTTATTTATTAATTAATTAATTATTATTATTATTATTATTATTATTATTGTTGTTGTTTTTGTTGTTGGTGGTGGTGTTGTTGTTGTTGCTGTTGATGGTGATGATGATGATGCTGTTGTTATTTTTGTTAGTGATGTGCTTGTTATTATTGGGGCTTGTGTTGTTATTCTGATGATAACTGATTACGTTTAGCGTTGTTGTCTTGGCAACCAAAAAACAACAAACAAACAAAAAAAAAACATTAAATTAAACTGAACTAAAATATTGCGACTGGTAACAAAATGACGATAAGCAACAATTTCAAACCAACTACCAACAGTAGCAGAAAAGATTTACTTTCACAGCTACTACTAACACTACTACTATTACTGATTGTAGTTACTACTACTACTACTACTACTACTAACGGTTTATCAACTTCCTCTCTACACCTTTACCTTTGCTTTTTAAAAATGGTTTTACAAACTCAACCCCTGAAATAATAATAATAATAATGCCAATAATAATAATAATAATAATAATAATAATAATAACTGACATAGTTGTAGTAGTAGTTATAATAGTGATTGTTGGTGGCCTTTTTGTAGGACTAGTAATAGCAGCTGATCGAAGTAGAAGCCTTAGCATCGACAGTGGCGGTAGTAAAGAATAGTGGTACCCTTATCTCATGTTTCACAACTGTGTTGCTACCCCGTCTCAATCATCTAACCATTCTCCTCCTCCTCCAAATAATCGATACCTTCTTACTCCCATTCCTTCTTCATCACCTTCTTCTTCTTCTTTTTCTTCTTCTTCTTCTTCTTCTTCTTCTTCTTCTTCTTCTTCTTCTTCTTCTTCTTCTCTTCATGCTATGCCAGCTTTTCTTCTTTCTTTTTTCTCTCCATCGACCTTTCTCTCTTCATCTCGTCCTCATCTTCCAACCAACACGGCTGCTGCCGTCTAGAACATTACCCGCCACCCACCGTAAAGCCGTTTCTTTTCTTCCCTCTCGAAAGACTTCGCAGCTTTTTCGTTTTCAACCACCGGCCGCCCATCACTGAGTGAGGCTTTCTCCATCCACCACACCGTAACTGCTATTGTCACTATTGTCTCTCTCGCCCCACCGCCCATTCCCTGAACGCTTCTGATATATCACCCTTACACTTTTTCATATTCATTCACATTACCCAACCTTTTCCCTCTCTTTCCACCCCCGAATAGGACAATCTATGAATGATTTTTACTACACTATGTCGGCTTTTACCACACAATGGACATTTATACAAGCGTGACACTTGTCGGACCAATGAGTCTCACCGATCAAGCCAACCCTGGTACGAATTTTAGACATCGTTGTATATTACTACCGATTTTTGTTAACAGTTTCCTAGTGTATACTACAGCGACTATATCTACCATCCAAACATTGCTGCGATCGTGTAAAAGGAGACACTAAGTGCATCCAACTTGCTTGCTTAAATTTTGCCGTCGAAGACATTGATGTCTCCTTCTCCACTGATTAGAACTTAGACAAACGGAACAGACCCGACGCTGCCTCCTACTCCATATCCTCTTCCACCTCTAGCTTTCTCTTTCTCTCTTTCTCTCTTTCCACCTCCTCCGTATTTGATTGAATCCTCCTACTCTCGATTCACCATAAGCGCCCCACGCACCTGATGTATAGGGACCGCCTCTTTCTCGGAAAGTGAAATTAGCAGCAGCAGCAGCAAGAAAGAAAGAAAGAAAGATACAAAGAAAGAAAGAAAGAAAGAAAAGGAAAGAAAGAAAGACGGAAAGAAAGAAAGAAAATATACATGTGCGCGTGTGAGTGAATTAGATTCAATATTGGGGATTTCAATCAAAACAAATTCGAGAGAAAACAACAACAAAAAAAGAAAGAAAGAAAGAAAGGGAAAAAAAACATTTTAAAGACTATGTCCGTTTTTCTCTTTCTTTAAATTTATGTTTTATTAATATTATTCTTTTTACCTTTTTCCTCCACCTCTCTCTCTCTCTCTTTATTCCTTTCTTTTATTCTTTTTCTCTCTCTTATATTTTTTTTTGGCCTTACCTTTTCTCTTCTCTCCGTTTTTCATTGCTGACTGTTTTACGGAAAACCCACTCGACAAATTTGACTACCTCGTGTCTTATGTTAATCAAGAAAATTCACCAAAACCTTTCAACCATCTCCACCACCATTGCCTGAGCTGTCGCCACCATCCATACCTTCAACAGAAAACAATCACTACCATCATCACCACCAACACCATCATCATCATCATCCACAAAATGATAAACAAACTCACGTAAGCTTTTTAACATTTCATATATCTATATATACACACATACATAAACATATATATATTGAGAGAGATTTATATATGTATGTATATGTATATATATATAGATAGATATTTATATATAAAAATATTATAGATATATATATATGGTGTGAGAGAGACAGTCAATCGTAAATACATGTTTATCTAGTGAAGCATATCAAAATATCCTTAGAAACACTGGATCAGTTTAGAGAAAAATATTGACATTGAAAGAAAGAAAGAAAGAAAAAAAAAAAAAAAAAAAAATTAAAATTATTATAATGCAATTGTGAAATCCCTACAAAGGTTACCCCTACACACAAAAAAAACAAAGCTTATAAAAATTGTAAACACGCGCGAAAATAAAGTTGAATAAAAAGATTTAAAAATAATTTCTGAAAATTAAATAATATCCAAGAAAATACACAGTGCTACGAAAAAAAAAAAAAACATTGAACTGTCGCTACGAAATATTGCATGTAAAGAAATTTACACGATCAAAGGGAAAACAACAAACAAATTGCTTATATTGGCAAACGGTAATATAACAGGTTTTTTTTTCCTTTTTCAACCCACTTTTTTTTGTATACCTATTGTACGTACTTAATAACAAGCGCCAGGAAATCTATTTCCACCGTGTTAAATTTCCACTGTACGGACAAATGTGTAGTTAACAAAAACATTGTTGATTAACTCTCCACTTCTGACGTATCAGGGTTGCCCAACCCTGGGCCACTCGGAAGAGATTTTTCCCCACACTGCCACAATAACAGCGAGCATGTGATTACCACATCAGCAACCACTCTAGTAACAACAAGCAAGAAAGGATGCCTTGTTGACATTCGTTTTAGCAGAAACAGGATTTATTCTAAGACTGAATTCTTGACGTTGGATTATTGGTGGCTAAAATTACGATATTAGCAAAAGCAGTAAAAATAATTGAAAAAAAAAATAATAATACTAAATCATAAGACAAGCAAACATCTTAAAGACATTCCTGAAAAGATCAAGTTTCCAAACCACATCAGGAACTATTGTAGTGGCGACAGCTGCAGCAGATAACACCGTACTTAGGACAGGTTCCCCATCAGGAAAACTTCAAGACGAAACCGCAACAAGCAACCTCACCTCCTCCTCCTCCTCCTCCTCCTCCACCTCCTCCTCCACCCCTACCCACTGTAAGCATCACGCCTGGCACCAACGCACCACCAACCCAGCTTCCCCAACAACCCTCCCTCGGACCGCACCAGCCCTCGTCGTCAACACCTCCACCGCCGCCGCCACCTCCACCGCCTGTGCAGACCCCACAGAGAAAACAATCCAGTAAACATAAGCCGAGCCATAAACCATCGCAGCAACAACAACCGTCACAACAACAACAACAACAGCAATCTGTGACGACACACGGACTGTCCAAATTGAAGCAGTCCCAACGCCGACAGGTGCCCCCGCCACCCCCGCCGCCACCGATCCAACAGCAGCGCTCGGCTATTCAGCCGTCACCCAAAAAGCAACAACAGCCAGGCCAGCGTCAGCAGGTATCATCCTCTGACAAGATCACCAACAAAAACAAGTACAACAATAACAACAACAACAACAACAAAAGCAAGATTATAGAGGCACCCCCGAACCACCACCAGGCCAACCAGCCCCAGCATCCACGCCCCTCCCAGCAGCAACCCCTTGTGAACCACCACCACCACCAACAACAAAATCAACAGCAACAAGAACCGGCTTCTACACCGACTCCTACACCACCTCCCCCACCCCCGATTTCCCCCCACCCAAAAATCCCCAACACCACAAGCAGGTGCATTCTTCTTGTGAGGTGCCCCGCCCGTCGGGTCTGACGATTGACCGGAACGGAACTCTCGGCACCACAGATCTGGGAAGTCTCCAGCTGGCCAAAAAGACCCAACAACAACAGACACCCCAACCCATAGGTCTCCCACAGTCACCCCTTGTCCCACTGCCCGCCTCCCAGCCATTGTCACCTATTGCTGCTGCTGCAGCTGTCCTTGCAGCTGAAAAAATTGCAACCCCACAGGCTAACCACCAGAACCACCCTCCCCACCACCACCACAACAACAACAACAAAAAAAATCCTGCAGCAAATCCGCCCGCAGTCACCTCTACGACTGCGAAAACCACCTCGAAAACCACCAACGGGACCGCACGAACTGGCTCGGCGGCGGTGGTGACCCCAGCAGGAGCACGACAACCTCTTCCTCCACCACAGGCACGGGCA